AAGAGAAATCGTTGTCAATATAGTACTATGGAACCTACTTGAAGAGAAATCGTTGTCAATATAGTACTATGGAACCTACTTGAAGAGAAATCGTTGTCAATATAGTACTATGGAACCTACTTGAAGAGAACTCACGGTTGACAAGATGTTGTGGAATCTTCTAAACGCGAGTTTAATCTCCCCGTTTTTCGTGTATTTTGTATATTATTATCAGCGTCAAGAGTAATTTACTCAGGCGATTGTCTAGTCCATTCAGACGGAATAACAGGAGGTAAGAACAACTTCCAAATGAAAGAAAAACTGTTTAAGAAATCGTACACGCTTATTGTACACACGTATTGTACAGCGTACTCTTCTTATTGTTCATACATCATGCTCCTAATGTTTGAGCAAACAATTTAAATTAGCGATTTCTCGGATATATTCTACATAATGTTTCATTTACGTAAGACTGTCGCTGCCCACCCATCCAGCTTTGACTGCTGAATAACATCCTGGTCTATCAATATAAACATGAGGGAGATATAACCGTTATAATTTAATGTATAAAGAAAGGATCAGATGGTATCTAAGTACGGATTCTGTGTTTTGTAAGACTACTAGTTTTCCACGAGTCCTTTGGGGGATATTATATTTGTTAGTACTTAGAGTACTACAAAATAAACATTAATTGAAAGGGATCATTATTTTTCTCTAGACTTTATGTGTCGTGATTAAATTTAAAAGAACAAACAATTTATTTGTAATTGTTCATTTTGTTTCTTAATAACGTCCAATAATGATTTCATGAATACACACACACATATATATATATATACTGTAATTTTTCTGTAAAAAAAATAATGACATTCAGGTTTCAGATCTTGCTATCAATTAGGTTACAACATTATTGAGATTAAAAATAACATGTCTTTATTTACTTTACAAAAATTATCATACGTGTTGGGATTTAATCCGAAATGGATAACTCAACTTTTACATATACTAGTGTACGCAATCTCTAGGTTAATTACGATTAAACCATTTCTTTTAAAAAAGGAAGAACATAAAAATACAGTGGTAAAAAAAGTCCCGTGTGCGATGTAAGTTTTACAGCGTCACTGCAGAATCTTTACTTGGCCCTATGCAGGCAGCGAAGCTCATAGCGTGAGGAATATACGACTGATCGTGAACACCTTGGAACAAATGGGCCATGGGTCCAATAGCAAACACAGGAACATCCTCTCCAGCGTGAGTCTCGCTGTCGAGGTAAAATGTCGCAGGTTGTTTGTATTCGTTACCAACTGAAATATAATAAAACAGTTTTATTCCTAAACACATTCACTACCTCGTGTGACATTATCCAGCACACAATTACATATATTTAAAAATATTAAACCGTGTTTGTAATACTTTTTATTCATAAAATTAAAATAAGTTAATTATAAGAGCCGGCAACAGAAACACGTACAGGATTACTGTAAAGAAAACAACATTTCTAAAATAGTTAACCTTCAAATTACTGTGCTAATACAAATATAAACCTAGCATGAAATCCCCGATCTTGGCAATAACTGGAGACTCGAGGACCTGGTGTGTGTAAGATGGTTGGTAATACAAAAACAAACCTTGCTCACAAATACCTGATCTTGGCAATAAGTGGATTACCAAGATTGGGACCCTGTGCTAGGTTTATCTTTGTATTAGCAACCACCTTCCCCACACTACATCCTTGAGTCTTGGAGACTCGCGGACCTAGTGTGTGGAAGGTGGTTGGTAATACAAAAACAAACTTAGCACACAAACACCTGATCTTGGCTATAATTGGAGACTCAAGGACGTAGTGTGGGGAAGATGGTTGATAGTACAAAGATAAACCTAGTTCACAAACACCTGATCTTAGAGTAAATGGAGACTCAAAGACCTTGTGTGGGGAATATGGTTGGTAATACAAAGACAAACCTAGCATACAATCCCCAAGCTTGGCAATAATGGAGAGTCGAGGACTTTTGTTGATAATCAGCTATGGCAAGAAATATTAGAGAAATATCAGAAACTGAACTCATGCAAAACATAAAAATGACACTTCATAGCAAGTCTCTGATCTTCCAAGACAGAACTGAACAATTTTGTAAATACCGAAACTCCATTCAGAGTTCATCTTCTCTCTGTAGCTGACCAATCAGAAAATCGGACCACAAGAATCTAGAAGTATCTTTGCTTACTGTGACATCAACCCACATATCTGACTGCACACAATTTTGTTATATGCAGGCTTCATTCTTATTTTTTTCAAGCATTATTATAACAGTTTCTTATGTAAAATCAGAATGAAAAGATCCTTTGGCAATACACCTATATATATGTTAAAGTTATCTTTATTGGAGCTTATGAACACAACACACTTAACAATCAACTTCTTGACTTTTAAGAGTTATCTCTCACTCCCACCCATAGTGACTGGGGTCAATGTTGCCACTGTGGCTATGTGACATTTAGGTGGTGACTCCTTTTCCTAAGACTCACAATTAATACCCAGGGAAGGTTTACTGTTTCCTTCCAAGCTGATAGTATTTGACAGTGCTTTCATTATTAAATGTAGCCTCAACTCATTCGCTTTCTGATTCCTGGTCAAACCAGTGCTACAGGGGCTTATAAGTAATGTATAGCTTTAACTGATCAACGTTGTCAATGTGCTTTTGTGAAGACTGACTCTCACAGTTTGATGAACAGAATCACTGCAGCACATAGTAAGGTCCAGTCCAACTGGATCTGAATGGTTGCACTACTGCTGTAGTAAACTAGGATTACACCTTGTTTCCTCATTCAAGTCGTTGTTCTCTAACCATCTGATCATATGCCTCTTCCTGTCTATTAGCCTCTTTAGCTGCCTGTTCAGGTGCAAACTTATGAACGTTAAGTAACTCCACTCCAAATATTCTTGAAGACGTTCAGATAATTTTGCAACTGGTGCATGTGTGTGTAGGGAAGACAAACATGAGGTCAATTAGATGCAAAATTTTATTAACATGTCTAGAGAATTGCCAGTACACTGTTGCTCTGTTGTGGGGTGCAACATCCATTACATATGGCAGGTGTCGGTTTAATCTTAGCTCACAAACATATAAGGCATATCATTTACACTTTGAAAGATCCACTCAGCCAAGTTATTGGGCTGATAATAATAAGGTGAAATATGGGTCTTCATCAAACCCATAATCTTACAAAATATAACAAACAGTTTGATTAGGATGGTTCCCCTTTGATGCTTTGAAATGAACTATCCACTGTTCAGTCCATTTGTTTGTGAGAGTTTGAGTCAACACATAAACCAGCAAATATGCTTTAACCCACTTAGTAAAGTAATTAGTTACCACCAGGATATAATGATTACCATGGTAAGTTTTCGAATAGGTTGGGCAATAGGACTATTCTCTGGAACCTACAACTCTTTGATGGAGTTTTCCAAGCACGCACATTTCTTTATCTGAGTCAAACAACTAATGCAGTGTATGCTATTGCTCTACACATCTGTGAGAATGCAATCAGTAAATCATTTTGCAGTCTGACGTAGTGCAAGACATTCCCAGGTGTCCCTGATACTTTTTAACTCAATGTTAAGAGAATTTTGGATCTCAGAGATCTCAGGACCATTAGCAACATCACAGGTTGATCACTTACCTTGCAGTGGTTGTACTAACAATAGAGCTATTCCTCCTGTATCTTCTATACTATGTTCACAAGTCTCTAATGGTCATGTTTGACCTTATTGCACAGCAAGTAAGTACCCAAGCTAGATCTGAGTCCTTTAATTGTTCTTCTCATAGGTTCTCTCTTGTTATGTTCGATACGTATTTATCAGTAGAATATTTAATATTTGCATGGGTTTTTGTCATAGCTGAAACTTTAGTCTTCATGGCACCATTATGTCTAGGACAAATACAATCAACAAATAGAAAGCACTTACATGACAGCAAGAAAGTCCATCTGTATTTCTATGCTGCCAGACAAGTTGGCAGAGTGAAGTTGTACTCCTACATAATTACTATTTATGTTCTCTAAAGTTCATCAGCCACTTCAATCAGATAGTGGTAAAAGTGCTTGATGAATACTACAATTGTAAGTAGCTTTTTCTTTGTTGCATTCAGCTTGCATAAGCTATAACATGCTTTCCACCACTCTGTACTTGTGAAAGCACTATTCCAATTCCATTTTCACCAGGAAGAATGGAACATCTCTCTTTGCACATTTAGGAACAATAATTACTTTTCACAGTCTCCAGTTCATTTAAAATGGTATTCATCCTTAATTCATTATTAAAGTGGTACTGATATTACAGAAACATTGGTACCAAAATATCTGTAATAGGACACAAAGCTTTAGACTTCATTTTCGTTTATAGCATTGAGCCAGTTTTCCACTGCTTTATTCTTCACAGAATTTATATACCCTCCATTGCTATTCACTATGTGTCTAAGAAACTCTACATGCATAAAGAAGTATTTCCCTGACTACAGTTTTAGATCTGATTGTTGTGGATATTGAAACATCGGTAACCAAACATGAAAATGATATCAGTGAAGAGAAGACACCATTCTCATTGCAAACCACACATTACAGAGATCTTCTCAAGTGCTGAGCATTGTCTTTTATCATGTAACAAGACCTTTCAGTAGCCAAAGGTGAGATGTAATGAAACAGGCAAGTGGAACCCTTTCAATTATCGAGATATACATCCCTACACGTCAACACATTTGTTGACGTATATTACAATGTTCAACTGCCTGTAGTGTACATTGAACCTTGGAGTACCTCCTCTCTTTTTTACTACAACTATATGTGATTGCTAAGCACTCTCTGAAGGTTAAATGATTCAACCATTTAGTACTTGAGCTATCTTAGTGTTAACTATATCTCAAGTGATTCAATGAAGCCTGAATGTATATTTTGTTTTTTAGGATCAACGTTTGCAATAACTGTATTATGCTGAAGACTTTTGTACTTCCTAGCTGGCTATTCGTAGACAAATACTTTGGTGAATTTAATCAGCAACTTTTTGAGTGTTATTTGCTGGTCTGTACTCCGATAATTTCCACGGTTTTCAGCCAAAAACAATATATTTGTCTCCATGCAATATCATTGAAGTGACACTAGCTACATTGCTAGTTTAAAGTCACCTACCATTCATACACTGCATCAAGAATAGTCTCAACTAATGTCTTTACTGTTCCTTCACCAAAATTAGAAACCATAATCAGAACATTTCTTCCCAAGGAAGCATGACTTGTTTTTGTTGTTTTTTCTTGTAATAAAACAGTATGTTTCAAACATAATTTTAACCAAAGCATTACACGTTAATCTATTTGAGATTATTTCATGTAAACTTACGAAACATCACTTGAGTATTGTATGCTTGCACTCATGTAGCCCACTGCTCTTTTGCATATTCTAGTTAACTTTTTAATTATTTCACCACAGAGCTATGTATCACTTAATCATAAGTTTATATTAGCAAATAACTTCTAAGCCTAACATGGCTGAATTTTAGCCAAGATATGTGGCAACAACTCTCACACATTTAGTGATGCTCCTTATAATAATGAAAAATTCTAGGTTTCACTGCAAACTAATGACCAGTTACAATGAAAAAAGTCTATGTTTACTAGTCATTGTAGTGGTTTTCATGGTAGTAACTGATAAATCACGAAATTGATTTGCGTAATAGCTGTTCCTTTAGTAACTATAACCTTTACCAAACATTACAGACAAATACCAAGCCTTGCTTGACCATGTAGAAGTCATACTAACAACTATTTATAAAGCAAGGTACAAATCGCTGTTCCATCTCAGATCTGATACAGGCCTCATTTGTTTAAATTAGCAAACATGAGAGCATTCACAGCCTATAATCTTCCTTGAGTTTGTTGCTGATTAATTGGCCTACTTGTTGGTTTGTGTGTGTGACTTCCTGCAAAGGCACAGAAAAATAACACGTATGCCATCACCAATAATTAAACTGCCTTGCAGTTTTAACGTGTGTCTCTTCTTTTTCGCCATGGGTTGAGATGCCTTCCAATTCACATTATAGGCAAAGCTGAAGTAAAATTTTCATATATTACGACCACATAGTTGGAAGCCATTCAGATAATATCAAACTACCATAACCCATACGTGGGAGTGGTATTATTTGTTATACTTTCTCAAAATGTTGGGTTGACATGCCCAGGAGCTGCATTTCTGCCAGAGTCATTACAAATATTGCTGTAATTTTCTTGAACTCTAGTCAGAATTATAGTCTCACATCTTGTTTTCACTGTTACAGCTTTGGTCACAGACATAATGTCTCTCACACCCTAACGATGCTGGACTGACTTACTAGGTAGTCCCTCTACAAATATTGATAAGAATATCTTCCCAGTTGGTTGTCACCATGCTGGAGAATGTTTTAATGTATAAACATTGCAGCTTATAAGTGTATGCAAGAAACTCATCATGGGCACCACATTTATGAGTCTTGAATTCTGTTCAGTAGGTGGCTCTGTTTTCTTTCTGTTTCAAAGTTCTGGCACATTTCTGCTATAATTGTTTTCAAGCGACAGAGTTGGTCAGGCTTTTGGTATGTCACAGAATCTAATGCCGGATCATCTAAGATAAGAAATAACTGCTGCATCATTCATTTCTGGATTCCAAAAATAAAATTGGATACCTGGCAAAAACGGCTCAAGAGGGTGACCTAAATCTTCCTTTGCTGAATCTTGAAAGATGAAGACAAGATTTCTTTCACCTGATGACTTCATACTGGTTGTAGCAAGTGCAACTTTCCACAATTCATAACTGCATGAACGAGTGTGGAGCTGGTGTTAACAAAAGCATCAACTCCTGTCTAGTGGCTATAGTTTGAGCATTTTGCTGAATTTTGAACTCCCACTCAAGCTCAATTAACCGAATGTTGTAGCAATAGCATCTCCAGCTGAGAACAACCAAAAAAAAAAGGTTCTAGTTGGTACTTAGCATCAATGTTTCTCTCACTGAAGAGATTCCAGGTTGATTTAGAATACATCTCTCAATTAGTTTGGTGGTGACCATGCTGCTGGGAGATGGTAAGGTTGGGTTGGCGAAAGTTCTCCACTCTACTTCTAAGTGGTATATGCAGTGTGAAGCTTTAGAATAGATGGATGGCAATATATGTAGCTCACTGTAACTACAACCTCAAGAGATTTCATCATATCCCTGGTTGTTTACACTTTTAGTTTGTGTTTACACCATCGTCCCCGAATGTGGCTCAATACTTGGCAATTAAATACTTTCGGTGGATGGAACACTTGCTAAAGTGTTGGAGAGCACTCAGCATTTAGTTATGGACTTCTTCATCTCTTGAGACCTTATGGTTTCACTTTCAGATCAGTTTGGCTCTTCTCTTCTCTGCTATTTTATTGCCAAAATGCAGAGGCATAATAGTTTAAAAAGTTTAAACTAGTCTTAAATCCACAGACTAAACTAACGACAAACAGACGAGGGACTAGGCCTCTTAGAAGATTCAGTAAATCTGATGTTTAATACAACATGATTAAGGAGCCTAAAGAACTCTAAGAACATGTAAGCAAAATAGCTGAAGCATGCAGTTGGGAAAATATCAACTTATCAACTTTTTATTATCTCATTAAACTAGAATTGAAAGGATGTTACTAAAAAGGTCTAAGGTGATCGAAATAACAAAGTTTGGACAGCAGAGAAATGGTAAAAAAATTATTAAATTTAACATGCAAAAATGTGTAATATTTGGACTTAAGAGAAAGTAGTTTGCTAACATTAATTTACCATTAGTTGTGTGTAGTTGTCATTTGTTATTATAAGATCTTTCGTCAAAATTCTGATACAACAAAGTATTCTGATAATAATATACGCATTATTAATTATTTGTGGTTAACTTTCTACAATGGGCATCTGTAGGATGAAAAGCACAAGCTAATCAAAATTTCAAAACTTACGTGTTATGTTGTTTTCGAAATTGTCTCGACTTGTGTTATATCCTGGTCCATTAGCATAAGAAAGCACTGTGTACTCAACATTGATTTCTTCTGAAACAGAAGTTCCTGGGAAAAAAAAGAAAAAACTTAATTATTTCAGTTCCAGTGAAATATACTTGATGTATTTCTTTAAAAAATGAAATGAAAGAAACAGTTGACTTAGATCGTGTTAAGATCAAAAAGTGTTTGGATTATTTCCTAGATGGATTTCTATTGGTATGAAATGTGATATATAACATTATTTTTTATACTGAATTATAAAAAACCAACAGTAAACTGCATTGTTATGACTATAGTGATACAATAAAAACTATTTATAGTACATAAAGCTACCAAAAAAATGCAAATGAAAATATTACAAAAATTACCTTTAATGGTTAATTTAAAACTGTCAAGTAATCATTGTCGTAATGTTAAATATAGATCAAATTATCACATTTAACTCAGTGTGGCAACTCTGTACACAAGAAAATCGGTATTATATTTTAAACAATTTTTATAGGATGTTTAATAGTGTCCAAAGGACTTCAAGGTGAGTTTCTTGCTCACATATAATTGTTAGTTTACAGACGGGGGTCTATCAAGTTTCTATATGCATTCTTAAAATAAGTGACATTTAGAAAGAAAGCAGAAACTCCACCAAAAAAAAGAAAATACTTTTTTGTTCGTTTGACGTCACTTAAAAATTATCGTTGAGGCTAATACCAACAAACAGTCTTTATTATAGAATCATCTTGAAAATATCTACATTTGACCCAAAACAGATGAGAAGTAAGACAGATGGTCTAAAAAAGTATCTTTATTTTATTAACATAAGAACTCTTAGCATTATCTTGCATAAGGCTGTGATTTTCGATTGCATTATATATAACTAAGCGTTTTTCAATAAATTTTGAGTCAGTCACATTATTAGAAAGAAGTCATTTTTGTTTAAACCTTCGGAAGATGTAGAATCCAACTTTCCTGTGTGTGACTCATCGAACGAAATGAAATAAAATAACTTTCCATGTAGTAAGCGGTTTGATCGGTTTGAAAAACCTTCAGGTTCTGGTTAGTTTTCAAGAAAGAAAAAAACTGAAGCTAGTTAAATAAGTAGAAGATTCAAATACCTAAAATATTGTTCCCCAGCTTTGGATAACCACTGATTGTCATCGTGTGGGAGTGGTCTGCCGTCACAACTATTAAAGTATCTTCCCGGTCAGTAAGCCTTAGTGCTAGTTCAATAGCTTTGTCCATTGCCACAGTTTCTTCTAATGCCTTCTTGGCCATTCCATCATGATGGGCATGGTCTATACGGCCACCTACTCTACAAAAAAAGAACATTAAGGTTATTTTCCCTACATATTTTGATAGTGACACTGTGTAGCCCAGGTCACGATGTAGATGTTCTAATATTGTAAATTACATCCAACAACGTGTATTAAACAGAGTAGTAAAACAAAATGAACAGCAAAAAAGCTGTGATAAAACGGTTCACTGTTGTAGTTCAAATTTCTTATTTAGGGAGTCTTTTGAACTGAAATAAAGATATATATTGAAGACGAAATACAAATTGTTTTACTTGGAGAAGCGAAGGGAATCGCGTCGTTCTTTTAGGAGTCTGAATTAAAGTGCTATACTTGTTCTTTATACAACTTATTTTGTTACAAATAAACTGATCATCACAGACCAAGAGATTAACATACCAGGTTACAGAACAAAAGGTCCAGGGCTCGAACTGAGATATGATGTTGAACTCCTTTCGAATGTTCAGCTATGGTAATGTTATAGGAGTGACATTCAATCTTGCTCTACTTGAATAGTTGCATAATTGGTATATATGCTAACTTATTGCCCTCCTTCTGGTCACAAGTACTAACTTAGGAATGGTTATAATTGAACCTTAAGGGTATCTGACCTGGCCATATAACCCATATGTTGCACAAAGTGCCGTTCACATTAAAAACATTAGTACCATTACAAGCCAAGAGGTCAACTAGGTGGTAGTACTATGGAGACCCTGGAAGGTCATCCAGGTGATAGTACTATGGAGACCCTGGAAGGTCATCCAGGTGGTAGTACTATGGAGACCCTGGAAGGTCAACCAGGTGGTAGTACTATGGAGACCCTGGAAGGTCATCCAGGTGGTAGTACTATGGTGACCGTGGAAGGTCAACCAGGTGGTAGTACTAAGCATGACAGAAGCAAATTGATAACAGTAAATCAAGTTGAAATACAAAATCAAAAAACGACAGAGGCAATAACTAGAAGGGTGAAATCAGCTGAGGTCACATTTACAGGTGGACAATAGGGGACATTTTGGAAATACTGCACAATACAAGCAATAAACAATATTTTAAAAACTTCTACGACTTTCATAACATAAGGGAATAAAATATATGCTTTGATCACAAGTGCATATTAAATACCAAAGTACCACTTGTACAATAATGAAGAGGACAGAGGAGAAATGGAGGGTAACAGGGCAGGAACATAACAACTGCCTGAGATAATAAACACAGTTCAAACTTTGTAGGAGGTGGGCAACAAAATACTTTCATATTTATTAGAATCTCCACTTATCTTCCCTTATGGAAGATAAAAACTATGCTTATGAATTCGAGAGAAGGAAATTGAATGCAGAAAACCATGTGCAAAGAGCCATAATTTATGATTTTAGAAAAGAACATTATGTGTGAAAAAAGACATGTTCTGGGCTTTAGAACAGAAGTCATGTGCAGAAAGCCATACTTTAAGATTTGAAAAAAACAAAAAAACATAATGCATGATTTGTTTTCATTTTTGTTTAGGTATTCATTACAGTTTGTGTACATCTTAATAGTTGTACATCCACACATACAGAGTGGCACAAAATTATTTTTTCTACTTACAATTTAATAATTAAATAACGAAAGAAATATAAGCACTTGGATCATCTTGTAGCCCAACTCAAATAGCTTTTATTGTCATGTTTTTTCACTCCAGTGACTAGTATTAACCTGTAAGGTGGCAACCGTGTAAAAAGAGGCTCAATGTGTCGTTTGGCTTGCAGGGTGGTCCAATTCCGTGGCCCCCGCATTTGCCAGATATTTCTTCACTAGACTTCTTTCTTTGGGGTATGTTAAAGACATCACGTATCATACACCTATGGCAAACATCACAAAGCTAAAGACCAGAATAACGGATGCCATCGTCACTGTAACTGTGAGCATGTTGTATTGAATGTGGAATGAAATCAAATATGGGTTATACGTGCCGAGAGCCACTAATGGGACACAGTAGAAGTCTACTGACATGTCAATAAAAGCTGTTTGAGTTGGGCTATGAGATTTTGAAAACTACATGGCTGTATTTCTTTAGTTATTTAATTATTAAATATTAAAATAGGAAATATAATTTGGACCACCCTGTATTATATGTAATATAAAATATTAATATTACTAAGACATGTAAAAGTTATGTTTAACATATTTTCAATGGATGTAGGATAAATATTTCGCAAAATACATTTTATCTATTAAAAGCATATACAGATATATAAAACAGAAATGAGCTCAGCACAGAACTGCTTTCAAAGTTTACAATTACCCTCAACGAGTAGAAAAAAGCCATTGGGGTTCTTTCTTAAGATACGGATAGCTTTGTCTGTCATCTCCCAGATCGCTGGTTCTTTTTCTTCCTTGGATCGATCAAGTTCATATGGCATGTTGTCGTATCCAAGCAACCCTGAAAAAAGGTATTTTTTAAACATCAAATAAACATATTTCTTCTTCAGAACCGAGCATCAATATTTTTCTGAAAGAAAAATAAATTCTCAGACTATGTTTCTAATACAGCTTTGCAAAGAAAATGTTTTCTGAGCAAGGCTCTGTCACCCCTTAGACAGCATCTCTACTCTAGCACCAATACTAACATTAGAGCCTGCATGTCATATGAGACAATGCAGAATGGTGATATTTAATATAGACATTAGACATATCATATGTTTTCTACCTGCTTTAGTGATATAGAGATTTCTGAAATATTTCGCTCACTTAGTTTGCATACAGTTTCAGAAAGTCCAGAAAGTCGTTAAAACAGCCTTATTGTAGTTGCTTTATTTCTTTGTTATATATAGTAGATAATGTGTATTCGTTAGTAAAAGAGTAGCCCAAGAGTTGACGATGGGTGGTGATGACTAGCTTCCTTCCCTCTAGTCTTACACTGCTAAATTAGGAACGGCTAGCGTGGATAGCCCTCGTGTAGCTTTGCGCGAAATTCAAAACAAACAAACAAACAATATCCCTTGTTGGCCAAGTTGGTGTTTTTTAAATGTAAGAGCAGACCAATGAAGTCAGAGAGAAAAGGTCACCAGTTGACGCTGTTGAGTGGACAAAAAAATCAAATTTACATTTTGAATTCAGGTGTGATTTCTTGGTCCAATTCTACTAGGAGATCATCAAGTAAAGACTGTGTTTAAAAAACATCGTGTTTTAGCTCTACCAAGACCAATCCTTAAAACGTGAATGCTGTGAGACTAAGCACAACCTAGCAAAGATTCGACCGTGATTTTGTCTTTGCAAGTACTTACTCTGTATTTGCTTTTAGTCTGTTCTGTAATAAAGATTGTGTACAGTTTTGTTAAATTTATCCAATCTCATTACTTCACATACACTATGGAAACTCAATTAAGTTATCAAAATGAGAATTATATCCTTATTTCGTAAGCGAATCTACTATTATGGTCAAGCTATCTAATACTTGTAGGGAAATCAGTTTTACCTAAAAGTACAATAAGTAAATAAAAAGAAGAAACTTTGGTGCATGACATGAGGATTTATTGTGAAAATAACATGTATACTACTAGCCCTTCCCTAACCTCTTGAGTTGATAAGAGTGCTTTTAATTTAAAAAAATGGAATTTTCTGGATGTATAAATACTCATGACTGATATGGATAGTTTAGCAAAAAAATATGGTAGTACGGGGGAGATTACGAGTCTAGGAGAAACCTCTTTTCTAGAAATACAACTTTTGCCATTGATATGAAGGTCTATGACGTCAGTCAACTTGATATGCTGATTCAGAGAGATTTTCTAGTATTCAGACTGCTAAAATAAATGGTAACCCTAAGAATCGATCTTGGCAGAAGCGAAATATGGGTAATGGAGGTTCTCTGAAATGTAATGGCACCTAGAGAGTTCAAAATTATGTAGAAAAGTTTCTACTGAACTCTTAGGCTGTGGCAGTCAGGACTCTGTTCAAGATCATGGTAAACTAGTGAACAGAGGTTGGGACATACTACTGGTGGACAATTTTCACCAGTCAAACTTGTTTTTCGAACAAGTGAGGCAACGGTCACCAATGGGTGAAGAACTTGACCCGTGGGGTGGAGTATCTTTCAGGATGGAAAGATTCTTTGTGACATCAATAGCAAATCACAATACTCGGGGTTATGCAGGACTGTATGACATCACCCTGAGTAGTTTGTTTCCATGTAGCCCTGTCCAGAGAAAGACTTCCTGTTGGGATGTTGGAGTCCTTGCCCGAGTTTTCATCTGGAACCAAGCAGATTTACAATCTGTGCGAGAGAGAATCTCTGGTCCAGCACACAGGTCCTGTGGTCTAAGCCAAGCAGACCACACGTCATATGTTCAAGTTGATGGCAAGAGAGGGCCTGGACTGGCTCTTAAAATGTTTCAGAGAGGCACTGATTGGATTGGATAGACTCAGAAACAGGTTAGTCCTTAGGTTAGATGATCTGGCTATTAACACTGCCGAACACCTGGATAAAGAGCAGCAGGATGACTGGGAAACAGTTGGGTATGAGCTGTATTGCCGATTCAACCCTGTGGAGAATTGGATGATCGATTGAGCTGAGTTCGTGGCATAAAAAATTCGTCACTGAGGGACTGGCGATCTATGTAAATGATCTGCATTGATTGCTGATAAATAGGACATCCTGGTCAATAAGTTTATTGAGGGGGCTTCCAATGAGGTAAGACAACGGCATCTAGGAGTGAAAGACATCATCATTCTCATGGAAACTCTGACATAGTTTGAAGTAGTCGCTTCAAATGAGCTGTCAGAGAAGAAAAAGTCTACAGCAGAAGCTGTAGTGGCAATTGCACTGGTGGAGGGTGCAACCCAAATACCACCACTGCATTGGGTTTACCCAAATGGAGAGTTAACAAGAAATGTGATACAACCACAATGGCTTCACATGCCAACCCAAGGTCCACCATTAAAATACACACTGCAATCACAGAGAGCATTTTCTTTTCATCGGTTGTGTAATAAAGACTTTGTTCATTTTTGCTAAATTTGTCTCGATATTTTGCACACGCTATGAAAACTCAGTTAAGTTATCAGATTCAGAATTACTCTCCTAATTTCCTGTGTGAATCTGCTGTTATTAGTGGTTCTAACTATTTGATACTTGTCGAGAACCAGTTTTTACATGAAAATACCACACTAGCGTGTAAAAAGAGACATTTGATATAGGTATTAGAACCTAGCATGTAAAGAGATATATGTTACCCAACGTAGAGCAACGAAATTTAATATAGATTTCCATACAATCAAAGTTTATTCTCCTTGTCATTAAACCCCTTTAATTTATTACCTGAAAAATAGAATGCTTTAGTGTTTAATAATATCTGAACAACACTATTTTTTCGAATTACTGTTTGTTTGTTTTGAATTTCGCGCAAAGCCACACGAGGGCTATCTGCGCTAGAAATCCCTAATTTATCAGTGAAAGACTAGAGGAAAGACATAGTCAACATCACCTACCGCCAACTCTTGGGCTACTCTTTTACCAACGAATAGTGGATTCACCGTCACCATATACCCCCCCTCCACATACACACACACACACACTGCTGAAAGGGCGAGGATGATTGGTGAGATGGGGATTCGAACCTGCGACTCTCAGATTGCGAGTCAAGCGCCCTAACAACCTGGCCATGCCGGGCCTTTCTCGAATTACTAACATTTAAATTGTTGTCCACTTTATGAAAGCTTAATTTCAAACAAAAGGGTTATTTCATATATTATCTTACTAAACAATTATTATATTATTATTTAATATTACCTAGCAACTGATTCGTTGCTTTGTTTTTATACACATTTTTCATTTCTGGGCGCCCCCCAGTGGCACAGCGGTATGTCTGCGGACTTGCAATGCTAGAAACCGGGTTTCGATATTCGTGGTGGGCAGAGTACATATAGCCCATTGTTTAGCTTTGTGCATAACTTAAACAAGCAAACATTTCTGGGCTAATCTGATAAGTGGTTTCTTACTCTCTTTTTTATCCAATGAGAAGAATATTAAAATTACATTTTATTTATTGAGTAATCTATTTCTTCCTGTTTAAACTTACCTAACAAGTAATCAGTTTCTTCGGGCTTAACACTCCGAAGATATGTCATATTAGTCACATAATGGACTCGTGTAGATATTCTTTTCTTATCATCTAGCCATTCGTCAATCAAATATTTTCTGTCTGTTCTTTTTCCTTTTTCCTTCGTTTCTACATCTGATTCATTGTTCGGAAAAAACGCCTGTCGTCCTCCACCAAGAATAACCTAGTTGAAAGAACAATAGTTTTATAATCTCTCAAAGACGTAATTTTACGTTAACAAACAAACGAATATTAACTTACAAATATTTGAGCTACTCACATAGAACAAGACTCGCAAAATGTATGATCAGTTTGAACTATTAAATGAGGAAAGACAGCATGTTTGACTAAAAATATTGTCATCACTTTGTAGTTAGGCTTTTATGAATTTCAATCAGATACTCGTAAACAGACGACTTCACGTCTGTCTATGTCCAGTCGCAACTCACTACTGAGGAATTAATTTTACTTATACCAGAATTCATCATATTGATCAGAGCCTCAATAGATAAAAACCTAACTGAAATGTTATTGTGTGCAACCATGCACATACAACGTGTAAACCTAAAATGCAAGCTTGCGTGTGTTACCTCTCTCTCTCTCTATATATATATATACTCATATACTCCACTGTGCTTTATAAACTTCTGAATGTTACACCAATTATAGCGAAATATTTCTTCTACAGGTTTAAACATTCAACAATTTACAATCTTTGAACAACTACAATGTTTTAACAGTGATAATTCATTTTTACTTCCTTATGTCCAACGTTTGGTGTCCATCTTTGACATGAAAAGTAAAATAAAATGGTAAATGATCATAAACAACATCCAAGGGTCTATGTTTGTTTGTTTGTTGAATTTCGTACAAAATTATTCGAAGGTTATCTGCGCTAGCCGTCCTTAGTTTCGCAGTGCTAGACTAGAAGGAAGGCAGCTAATCATCACCACAACCGCCAACTCTTGCACTCCTCTTTCACCTACGAAAAGTTGCATTGACCGTCCAATTATAACACCCACACGGGTGAAAGGGCGAGTATGTTCAGTGACTAGTTTCGATCCCGCGACCAGCAGATTGCGAGTCTAGTTGCCTAACCATCAGGTCGTGCCAGGACTTGCTTCAAATAAGAAAACCTTCGTAGAAAAGAATCAAATTTTGTTTATATTAAAGAACGTGGAATTTCAAAATAGATGTCTGGATAGCAAACTACACTATTAACAACTGCTGAATGGACAAGAAATTAATTGATTAATGCATAATAGGTGGGATAGTAACATTTAGGAAAAGTCTATATTATGAAAAACATTTTGTACTAATCTGCTCTTTAAACCTACAAGAAGCAAACAATTTCAGAAAGTTCTCCAGTGTGTCAGCGGTAAGTTTACGGACTTACTACACTAATCTCTAAGGTTCAAATCCCGACGGTGGATAGAGCCCATATTTTTCAATGTGTAGCTTTGCACTAAAACAAATAAACAATTCTCAAAAGCGGGTAAAAAGCGAAAACTAGATAAAAGTATACCGATCGATGTTTCGACAAGTTAACTTGCCATCATCAGAAGCTATAATTACCTGAATATTTTTCCCGGGCATATATTTTACCAACTGCAAAGCAATGTCAGGACACTCATGATCTCCATCAGGGCTTTCAAATTCCCAATTTCTGGAAGCTGTGTGAGCATAAAGACCAGCAGGTGTCGCATGTGTGACTCGAGTTGATGTCACAAACCCCGTAGATTTTCCTAAAATCCAAGATGGGCATGAAAGAATGGAATAATAAACATAATAGGGAATTACTTAAACTTTCGATAATCGGGGGTGGGGTGTGGAAGAGAAGAAAGAAGTGCTTGACAGCAAAACTGCTTTTTTAACTTTACATTATGATTGGCTGTTGGATGTAATATTGGTTTGAGTTTCCCAAAAGATCTACACATAAAATGTGAAACAGAATAACTAACCTGATAGCATTCGTAATTTCAATTTGACAAATACTTTTTCTCATT